CTTAGAATATTATTAATATATACTTAGAAAGTAGCTAATATATTAGTTAAGCTAAATAAGATAACTAAATACTTAAATTAGCTATACTTTATATAGAAGGTAGTTTTCTACTTATTACTTTTAGTAATATATATTTAATAGTAAGTATTCTTAAGATTAAGTTTAATAAAAACTAATATATTAGATAAGTAGTTTAGAATCTCTCTAATTAGTAGTAGTAGCGTTCTATCTTTATATATAATCTTATTTATTACTCTATAGTTAATATAAAGCTATAGCTTCTTACTCTTTTTAGGGATAAATAAGATAAGTACTTCTATTAAGCTAGTTAATAAGTATATCTAACCTCTTACTTCTGCTTTTATTAAGTAATCCTATAAGATCTTAAACTTATAGTTTAATAATAAGTAGATAAAGCTTTAAGGAATAGGAGCAGTATTATTAAGCTTAATATAATAGTTATAAGCTACTCTTTTAGGGAGTAAAATAGCTTTTTCTTCTAAAAATAGATTATTAAAGTTATTATAGTATACTTATTAATCCTCTATATTACCTAATAGCGCTAAGAGTGTGTTAATAGCTAGAGTAATAATAATATAAGCTATTATAGTATATTATAAGCTATTTAGTAGCCCCTTTTTAAGGGTATCTAAATAGATATAGCGTTTATAGATTAGATAGCGCTATTATTATTATTACTAATTAATAAGAAGGTTAATATCCTCTAACTATAAGATACTTAAGATTAATATAAGCGTTAATAGATTTATTATAATAAAGTAGTATAGCTATATCTTTATAATATTATCGCTATTAGAGATTCTTAGTTAGAAATAATAGGTTTTAAGTGTTTAGATCTCTTAGTTATCTATATCTATTAGCTAGAAAGCTAAATAGATATATAGATTAATTTTAAATATATTAAATAAGCTATAGCTAATAATATTTCCCTTTAATCTTAAGTTAATAAGCACTTTTAGTTTTACTTAGTTATTATTAAGTTATATCTAGGTTAAGATATCTAAATAGCACTCTTACTATTATAAATCTATAATATAAATAGGTATAGTATTAGAGTTTATTACTAAGCTTAACTACTCTAAAGTTATGCTATTTATAAGGTAATTAGCTACTTTATAGCTTTTTTAGCTATACTTTCTATATATTATATTTAGATATATATTAGCTAAATAGCTTATTTTATTATAGTTATAGTACTACTAAAGCTGCACCTTTAAGTATAAGTAATCTCTTACTATATAATTAGATTTATAATAGTTATAATAAATAATATCTTTAGGAGGGGACTTATACTATTAAAGAGGTGTAATAGTATTATTAGCTAGCTATTACTTAGTTAGTAAGGTGCTTCTTAATAAGCTATTTAGAGGGGAAGCTTACTAGTTAAAGAATATTAATAAAAACTACTTAATACGCTATACTAAAGAAATAAGCTTATTATAGGTATATAGAAGTATTATTTATAAGGTTATAGTGTAATATAGTTATAGCTATAGCTTACTAAATAGTATTAAAATATACTACTTCTCTATTAAGTAGTAGTTTAATTTAAGCTTTAGGTTATTAATATAACTTATAAATTTATTAACTTACTCTTTAAGCTCTTAGGAGGTACTATTTAGATATATATTAATAGCTATACTATAGCTTATAAAGTTAGATAAATTATTATATAAGAAGGTTTTAAGCTATAGAAAAGTAATCTAGTTTATATAAAAGCTTAGCTCCTTTTAGAGGTTATAAATATAATATATCTATAAGGTTTTAAAATAGCTATAAATATAGCTTATTATATATACTACCTTATTACTATTAATATATATCTAGTATACTTATAGACTAAATTAATAGCTATAATTAAATAGGAAGCTCTATAGATCCTTTACTAACCTTCTTAAATATAATAAAGTAAGTAGTAAAACTTATTAGAAGATAATATTAAGGTTTTAAGGCTAAGGTTTAATAAGTATAAAGCTAATAGCTTATAGCTTATTTATAAAGTAAGGTTAGCTTTATTCTTATAACTTAGAGGTTTTAGATTTAGTGAAGTTAAGTAAAATAGTTTTATAGCTAAGGATTAAAGTTTTAATAATATTAAGTATAGTACTAAATTAGGTTAAAGTAAGCTTATTATAGCTTAATCTAAGTATTAAGCTAGTTAAAATGCTCTAGAGGTGCTCTAACTTAATATACTTCCTATATAAATATTCCTTATATATAGTAATAAAGATCTCCTCTTTAAGTATATACTTTTCTTTATATAATTTAGATAATTAATTATTAGTAGTATAATTTAGCTATTTATAAGTTTAAGTATACTTAGCTAATAGGGGTTTACTATATTATCCCTACTTAAAGGGAGTAATACCCCTCTATTCTTATTATATCCTCTTTAGAGTTAATTAGTTACTTACTTTCTATTATAGAAGTAATAAGTTTTACTATTCTTATTTATCTTAAATACTTAAAATAGTTAATAATAATAATATTTTATTACTAAGTTACTATATAGATTATACTTTCTTAGTATATTATATTTAAGCTAATATTTTAAATTTCTAGCTTAATCCCCTTTATAAGTAGAGATTTTAAACTATTAATTAAGTATATAATATAAAGTGAAGGCTTATAGAGGCTAACTATAGTTAGGAGTTAAAAGATAGATTACTGAAATCTACCTCCCTATATAATATATATAACCTGCTCCCTATATATAACCTTGCTGCTCCTTTATTGCTTCCTCCCTACGCCTAACTAGTTCTAGTGATCCTAATATACAGAAAGCTCACAGTTTGAGTTTTCTTTGAACTACAGACCTATCTTATTTCCTTCGGTTTCGGTTTTAAGTGGCATCGTTATCTCTACTAGACATTATAAATTCTATTCGCCTTAATTACTGCTGAACTGAGTCCTATGCAGTGAAATTTGTAAGCATGAGATCTGCATCGTAAAGACTGCAAAATCGGCATCGCTAAGTTAAACAATTCCACGGAAATAGGGTTGGTTTGTAATATCCATGGCTCAGTACTCAGAGTCTCAGACTGCGGTGCTGCGTTGGATACAAAACGCCAACTAATGGCATTGTTTCGCAATATTGCATGATGCACTCAACTTCCTTTCCTTCATGTCTTAATCTGAAAAGATGGCACCCTCAATGCAGCATAAGATCGGAATTTTCCCCGCATCCAGAGGCATTGGCGGAGGCACTGTGAAGCACATCCTCAATCGCCTGTCCCCTAAGGATCTCGTCTTCATCGCTCGACACCCAGAAAAGCTTGCTTCTGAAGCAGCTCTAGGAGCTGAAGTACGCCGAGCAAATTACGATGACGACGCGACTGTCCAAGTCGCGTTCCGCGGGATCAAAACTCTCTTCTTGATCTCCTACGCATCGGTCGAGCACGAACACAGAGTTGAGGTATGATAAACTTGCCTTCAAACGTGACGAAGTACCGGCTAACGAAATACCTCAAGCGACACAAACTTGCCATTGACGCCGCGATCGCAAGCGGCGTAGAGTACATCTTCTATGGGTCTTTGGGCTTTGCTGGGTCAGAGAGCAACAAAGAGACAGTAGCTCATGTTATGAAACCGCATCTTGACACTGAAAGATATCTTGAAGATTGTCGGAAGAGCCACTCAGGCTTCGACTTCACCATCATTCGAGAGGGTCTTTACACGGAGTCGTACCCACTCTACACCGCTTTCTTTGACCCCGCGCAACCCCGCAGCGAAGTCAAGATACCGCATGACGGCTCGGGGCCTGGAATCGCCTGGGTGAAGAGGGAGGAATTGGGTGAGGGCACTGCCGAACTCATACTACGCTATGTTCGAGACCCTCAGGGATTCACTTACCGTAGCAAGACGGTGCTACTTTCAGGAAATAAGAGCTTGACCCTGTCGGAAACAGTCAAGATGCTCAGCGAGATCGCAAATATTCCCGTTACCATCAGGCAGGTCTCGGACGATGAATTCGCGACACAGCCCCAGGTTCCCCCCAACTTTACCTATCGCGGAGTCGATTATTCCAAGGCGTGGGCGTCGTCATTTGAAGCGTTCCGAAGGGGGGAGGCCGCATCTGCTTCTCCACTGCTAAGCGAGCTTCTGGGGAGGGAGCCAGAGGAATTCGAGACCACTGTTCGGAAGTCGATGTCAGCTTAGATAGGTAGCCTGTAGGAGGGCAGATCTCCTCAATCGTCCGTCATTGGGTACATCTTAGCAACTGCTTCAAAGTGATGAAGTCGCCCTGCTGCAATGCTTCACGTATCGCAACCGATCCTGATTGTGTATGTCACACAACTTGTCATGCTTCGCTCTGTTTGGCTCGTGGTTGATCATATGACGGGCAGGAACTGGGCACACGTCAGCAACTTCACTTGTCTTAGACGATCACTTGGAATTTAGGCAACTACCTTGGCAATGATTGATAAACAGCAGCTTTCTGTAAGCTATTGTAATCGGTCTTTCTCAATTTGAAAGATTCCAGTGTGCGATGGATTTGTGACAGTTTTGCAAGTATGCCTACTTCCACCATTTCCGGCGTCGACCTCGTCAACCTTGGTCCGTTGACAACGACGTGGACCGCCCCAACATCATGCGCTTCCGCACCGCCTTCTGTACAATTGGCTTATGCTACCAATTACAAAGACGGTGTAGCGATGTGGTGGGATAATTGCGAAGTGCGAACCGACATTTACGATGAATGCATACCGTCTGCGCCCCCGGCAAACCGAGAATGGGCTTCCAGGCAAGCCGAAATGAACCCTCAGCGACTGAACTTCGAATTATATCATTCGCCAGGCATTGCTTGTCCAGCAGATTGGTTCACCGCAGGGCTTGCCATAAAAGAAGGACCGTCATCTTATACAATGAACGGGAGTTTCGCCGATCCTACTTTCACGCGCACATTTCCCACAAGGACCACTACCATGTCTCAAATTACACCAGGGTTCAGACCATCGAATGAGATATTCCCCTCTGCAATGGAAGTTTCGGAGACTGCTGTGATCTGTTGCCCAAGGTGAGTAAAGTGGTGGCTGTCATTCGACTGGAATTACTTTCCAATCTTGACTGAAGTTGATAATAAATGTCATAGCGGATTCACAGCAAGATGGGCCGGTGGCGCATGCTTCTCGACAGTCTCGAATGAAGCATACACTGCCACGACGGGGTGTCAACTTCAATTTGCAAGCCGCATTGAAACTGTGCTTCTTGAAACATACACCTTTTATGGGAGACCTATCACAGGTCTAATGGCGTACACAACGGCTACAACTATGAGTTTCAAAACTACGATCGAGACTATCAAGCCTGCCGATAGCACGCAGTACATAGGATTAGTCACGACGCCTGCAGTAACTCTGGTACACAAGCAGAGTGATGTGGGAGAGATACCACTCACAGGAAAGACATCTCCAACCAGTACATCAGGTGCCGCGTCTTCAAGCAAAATGAGTTTGAGACGGCTGGTCAAGGGGCTGGCGCTAGCTTGGGGTTTGGTAGCCGTAATCGAAACTGTGGCTGAAAGCCTTTCTTGAGGTTTAGGTTCTAAAGGCACCGCACATACCCTAAACACAATGAATATTGATGAATTCTGCTAGCCGGGCAGTGTTAGCTGGCCATCCGGGCAGTGTCCACTACATAAGCAGTATATAATCTATATATCCTATACCTATACTAAAACGACGATTCTCGCTGGTATCATCACTTTCGTTATCGCTGTCGTCGTCGTTCATCATTATTCCTATCTACCTCTACTATAGTCCTTATTAGAGTACAGGCATATACTACGATATATTTATAGGGGAGGGACACTGCCCGGATAACCAACTCACACTGCCCGGCTAGCGAAACTCATATTGATGACCAGGGCGATCCAGCATACCCATTGCTCAATTGTTATCCAATTATCAAGGCAATATACAATGGTGGCCAAGTGGGTGTCTGAAAGCGAGGTGGCTCGGGACAAGGATGGGGCTAAGCAGTTCCGCCAGGGAAAGCCCTCATTTGCGGAGACACAAAAAAGGAGCAAAGTACAACAAAACTATTCATTCGTAGGACCGACCGCGGTTCGAACGCGGGGCCTAGAGATATCTGCAAATAGAAGGACTGCAATCTCTCGCTCTACCACTGAGCTATCGATCCAAACGGAAGCCAGATGTCTTTACCATGCCAAAATAATCCCTTGAATACCGCTATTTCAGTTGGCAGAGTCAACTTTTCGAAGCTTGCGCTTTGTTAGACTCTTGTTGTCTTCTCCATCTTGCTCCAGGGTGCCTTTCGAGCCTTGAGCATCGATGATAACATCGTTGGAATATACCACGCCATCAAAGACCTCGTCAATTTCCTCCAAAGTTCTGCCCTTAGTCTCAACGAACAGACAGTAGACCACAGCCAGGATTCCCAGATTCCAACCACCATTGATCGCGTAGTACCGCCATGAGATCCGTTCGATCGCCAAAGGAGCGGTGTACAGATTAAGGAAGCTGAATGCGTAACCGATGGCTTGGGCGACCACCACACCCTTGGCTCGCTGTGAGTATCGGAGTATTTCGGGTGGGTAAGTGTATGCCAAGATCATCCTGCAGCAAAGTTAGTCACGGATAGAAAATGGACGCCGAAAAGCTATCTTACCAACTGGTAGAGACTGCAAGCAAGAAAAGTGCAACAACGACAATTGAGCCAATAGCGTATGAGTTGGTGTCAGGATGAACTTCCGTGAGGTGGGATAAGCCAGACAGAAGACCAAACAGAATCACAGTTGCTGATGTTCCGGCAACTGAAATCGCATGTTAGCTTCGCGAAACAACAGTGGACTCTGAGTATTCTGAATACGTACGTAATGGCTTCCGAGCGCCGACCCGATCGATAAGGAACACGCCAAGAATACTGCAAAAGGCCTTCCATAGCAAGAGAGCGACGTTGATAGTGATAATGGATCTCCTGCTGGAAACACCTAGGCTCGAAATGATGTATGACGAGAAGTACCTGAGCAGAAGGTTAGCCTTTTGTTTGTATGGATTGCAAAGACACGAAGGAGCCTACAGAATCATGTTTCCTCCAAGAATTTGATAGAATATGTTGGTCAAAACAGCAATGGTAAATCTTTTCATGTTAGAGGCTACGGAAAACATAAGGTTAGCCAAGACCTAGAGAATGGTACTTGCAATCGGCTCACCAGGTGTAATGAGTTCGCGCCATGCCCCTTGACCGTCCTTCTCCTGATTGAGAGAAGCAACAATCTCCTGCGCTTCGGTAAGTACCTCAACGTTATGTACGTCGCCGTCAGCATGCAGACGGGCAAGGATCTCGGTTGCCTATGACTGGTCAGCAGTTGGTGTGGTTATGCACTCATTGTACCTTACCTCTTCAGCACGTCCTTTGGAAAACAGCCATCGAGGACTCTCATCAACGAATGGCAAGAGACAGAGTGAAACAATGGAAGGCACTGCTTCGCCCTTGACATGACAGGTTAGACAAGTCGATGTAGTTGAGGAACTTTCGAGGACACTCACTAGCATGATTCCTCTCCATACCCAGTTGGAATCCTTGTCGAAGATTCCAAGTACGATGCAGGCAACCAAGAAGGATGTGAATGGAACAGAAACGAGTACTGTGCTAGAGCAGATGGTTCTATGCTTTGGCGAAGCCAGCTCCATCACCCACATAGGGGCAATGGAGCCGTTGACTAGAGAAGCGAATCCGATAATGAACCGACCGACAATGAGTTGCGGCACTGTTTGAAGCTGTTGTCAGTTTTTGATTTGAAAGCTTTTGGCCAACGCCACGTACCAGCTGATGCTGAAGCTTGTAGGATGACTCCAACGATGATGCAGATGGAGCCAGCCGCAAGGCCCATCTTCCGTCCCCAACGATCAACCGCTGGCCCCACCACCGGGGCTCCCAAGACCGAACCAGCGCTGATAATCGCAACGTTCAGACCGATTAGGTCGCTATTGAGGTTGAAATCTGTATCGAAGCATTAGAAAAGCAACTCAGTTCAAGAAGGAGACAAACAATCGTTGTAAGGCTTGACTGCGTTCAAGTTGTTGATCATGCCGGCATCGTAAGAAAGAATACAAATATTCAGCATAGCAACTAAGACAATAAGAATGTGTGAAAAGACGGGCCCAAGACTAAGCACCGCCATGGTGAAATCGGGTTCAAACTTCAAGGTGGATAAGGTGTTGGTTCTGTGTTGATGATGCAAAGAATGATGGAGTGGAGGCGCTGTGTATGTCGCTGCCTCACCGAAACTGATAACAATTCGGTTGAAGACTGACGACTTCTTGGACACGCATGCGTTCAATTATATCTCGGTGAACTGTGCATTGGACAGATGCTTGCCTCACCCTCCATGCGATAACACTCCAACTATCTCGAAGCACTACTGGGGTGAGATAAGACGCGCTGGGTTAGATCGCTGAATCTTGGCCACTTGCTATCGCACATTTTCTCCGGGCCATTCCATCCCGACCAGAGTTGATTCAGGCAATGTCACAGTGCCAGCACAGAATTGCATGGCAAGTCCAAATCGACGCGCGTATTTCCCGAGCATGCCGAGCCCCACGGAAAACTTCGGCCGGGCATTTTGGTGGGCGTCCCATCTGTTATCGTTGAAGTTTCATCTTGCCGCCATGTCAACCTGAGAAGTTAACGACATTTTCGGGCTATAATGTTCATTAGCCGGGTCATGCTGAGGGCTGTTGAGGAGAGCGTTATGGTATTCGCCACCAGTGCCCGTAGTAATACATGTACGCAGAGGCTGCGCCCTCTCACTCCGGACGCACACAAGGATAACAACGGGAGGCGGTAAACAGTGAAACTAATAGAAAATGCAAACAAATTAGAAATCGGCCATCCCGAAGAAATGCATAAGTGTGAGATGACTGTGGGAGATGCTCACCTTTCGATGTAATGTGGAGGGCGAAATCTGGTGAACAGACTATTTGCACGTATCGTTGTAAGGTGGACTAAGACACAAGGTACGAAATTGAATTTTGAACTTTACACATCTGCAATGGAAGGTAGAATGTACTGAACTACAGCTGCACCGCGTAAACATGTTCCACTGCGTCCTCAAGTATCCATAGCATACTTCTTCTCGACAAGGTTAGGGTGAATCATACAACACTCATAATGATCAAATTCCACTGAGGAACAGATTTGGAGTGAAGCAGCTGTATCCATCGATGTAAACAGAATCCATGAATATATTCGATATGATAAGTCCGAACGTTCTACTCTAATAAGCAATGAGCTTCTAAACAAAATGAAACATGTGCATCCTCCGGCACACCAAAACGAAATACATCACCAATATCCGCCGGGGGGTGGAGGCACCGCGACATCCTTCAGGTGTCCATTGACCCCGTTCTTGATATCCTTCGCCACCTTGTCAAAGTTGCTCTTAGTGAAATCCAGCGGATCCCATGGCTTCAGTTTCGGGAACCTCTTCTGCGCCCATTCCTCTGGGGCCGCTTCGATGTCGTCCCAGGGAATCTTGTAAAACGCATCCCGATTCTTCTGGCCGCTTTCGTGTACCGCGTTGGAACGATGAAACCGAATCCTCTGGGCAGCTTCCAAGGCCAGCTTGACGTCGCCCTTGGACAACTCAAGACACTCAGCGACTGTCACGGCATCCTCCAGTGCCTGAGATGCTCCTTGACCAGCGGTGGGTAGGTTGGCGTGAGCTGCGTCTCCGATGAGAATGGTGCGGCCTCCTTTGCTGACCCAAGTATCTATGGTAGGTCGGTAAACGAGTTTGAAATCGATAGTTTTACCAATTGGGGTCACATCGAGAAGCGCTTGGGCGTCCCTTCCCGGAAAGTAGTTCATCCACTTGACTACATGCTCCCTTTCGGCAATGTTCGACCAAGATTCGGAGGATTCTTTATCGTCCTGATATTGTAAGTCACGTCAGCAGTCTACTCAATGCTGACTGAAGGGGTCGAAACTGCTTACCGGGTGGATCAATACCCAAGCAATATCCTGACCCTTATTCCAGACAAATGCCATGAGGCTCAAGTTGTCATACATCCAGAATCTCACAGTGTCCCTGTCCTCGCGGTAGAGATCCTTCAGCCCCGGGTGGCTTCTCATGGCCTCGTCGGTTTTGAAGAAGCTTCTGAACACAGCCCATCCACTACTGGTGCCATCTATCTTCTCATCGTCCAGTTGCAAAACCTGTCCACGCGCGATGGACCGAGGGCCGTCGGCTGCTATGACACAATCGGCCCACAATGTCTCTCCTGTGGACAGCCTCACACCAGCACGACGGTCTTTCTCCAGGTACTCACTGACAGCGACGCCGATTCTGATGTCCTTGACAAGAGTCTTCGCGTAGGCTAGGAAAATAGAGTGGATCTTGCCACGGTGACCGGCGTATGTAATGTTGTGCTCTTTGTCATCTCTTGCCCACGGAACGTTGACAATGAATTTGCCGTCAAATTTGTGGAGCTCCATGGTTCGGATGCGACTGCATCCAGTGTCGTGAATCTGCTGCCCAATCTTGCCATCATCCCATCGATGAATGATTCGTCCGGCATTCGGGAAGAAGTCCAGAATATCTATGTGATGGAAAATTCTTATTATCATCTGAGGATTGGGCGTGATGAAGGAGCCGACTTACCGCCTTGGCTGTTTGAGTCAGGATACTTCTCAATCACAGTAACGTTCATGCCGCGCTGAGCACATTCAATAGCGGCACCAAGCCCTCCAAAGCCGGCGCCAACGATGATCACCTCCAACTTGTTGTTCACTGTCATATTGGTTGTAGATTTTGGGTTTCAGTGTAAAGATGCGGTGAGTGCAATGGTTCCACCTTCGATGGCGTTGGATCTTGCGCTTGAACCTTCAAGGGATATAAGATATCTTTCATGCCGGCAATGAGGCCATATTCGCCTGTCTAGACATGATCCTGCAAACATGCCAAGCCTGGCTGCTTCCGGAAAAAAAGGTCGTGGCCGAGGTCCAATTTGCTCTTCTTTCGGGATCTCCCCCGAAAAGCCGAACATGCAGCACCACGGGAAGCTTGGCGCCACACCTTTTGGGTTTTAATGCCAATTTCCAGAAGTATCAGACGACCGTGATCCACATCCGTCTTTATATGGAGTTTAGCTCCAAGGACCTACTGTTGTGCCATCATCTACTGCCCTCCTTTCGGCGCATCTCTACCGTGCCTCGATTTCGAAGAGGCCTCCGCGAACACAGCCACGTTCCTGCCACCAAATCCAGCGCGACACAGCCAGCGGCGATGTCGAGTACCACTCCAAGCCAGGATCTAGAGACTGCTCAGGTCACGAAGCATGTATCACGCTTTGAGACTTTGCAGGTGCACGCGGGTCAAACCCCTGACTCTACGACGGTGGCTCGCGGTGTACCAATATATCAAACCTACGTCTTCAATTTTCGCAGTTCAGCCCATGCTGCGAGGCTCTTCAACCTAGAGGAAGAGGGCGAGATTGCCACACGCACTGGCAATCCTACCACCGCCGTTGTTGAGCGTCGGGTGGCGGCGCTTGAGGGCGGCGTTGCGGCTGTAGCAGTGTCATCCGGCCAGTCAGCAGTCTTCATGACTATGGTTGCCTTAGCTGGGCAAGGGGACAATATTGTAGCGACCAAGCATTACTATCATGGTGCTTACAACCAGTTCTCCTTCTTGCTGCCAGAGTTTGGTGTCGAAACCAGAGTGGTGGAGGAAACAGCAGAAGCCTTTCGAGCGGCCATTGATGGGCGCACGAAGGCCGTTTATATCGAAACTGTCGGGCATCCGAACTTCAACGTGCCCGACATCCAAGCCATTGCAAAAGTAGCACACGACAACGGCGTGCCCCTTGTGGTCGAGAACACGGTCGGGTGTGCTTACTTCTGCCAACCCATCCAACACGGGGCCGATATCGTTGTTGCCAGTATGAGCAAATGGATCGGGGGCCACGGCAGCGCCACGGGTGGCATCATTGTCGACTCCGGCAACTTCGACTGGAAGAATTCTACACGCTTTCCACAGTTCAACAAGCCCTGTCCAGGCTTTCACGGACTGAATTTCTCTGAGAGGTTTGCCAGAGAAGCCTTCATTATGCGCATCAGGGGCCAGATTCTGCGAGATGTAGGCTCATGTCTCTCTCCCTTTAACAGCCAGCAGTTCGTTCTGGGAATTGAGACGCTCAGCCTACGTTGCGAGAGACACGCACAGAACACCATTGCCCTGGCCAGGTGGCTGGAGAAGCACGACAACGTTCTCTGGGTTTCCTACCCCGGGCTCCCCAGCCATCCGCACTATGAGCTTGCCCAAAAATATTTGCCCAAAGGGGCGGGCGCCGTGCTCATGTTTGGCGTTAAAGGTGGGGCAGACGCAGGAGAGCAGCTGGTTGACAATTTCAAAATGATCTCGAATAATCCAGGGTAAATACTCCGCATGTTGACTCTCGTACGCCGTTCCCCTGCTAATTTCTCCAGATACGGTGATGCCAAAACAACTGCGATGCACCCATGGTCTACTACACACAAGCCAATGTTACCTCATGAAAAGATTGACCTGGGTGTTGCACCTGAGATGGTCCGAGTCTCTGTTGGGATTGAACACTTGGACGACATCATGTATGACATTGAACAAAGCATGCGGGCTAGTCCTGCCGTGGCAAAGGGCGATAAATGACTGAGAGACAATTAAATGAGATTTAAATCGACTAGTATATCTGTTTGTTCATTGTATGGATTCTTTCCAAACCAAGCGGTAACCTTGCGTGACATGCTATCACGAAATCCATCTCGGTGATGCCGCAATGCCTTGATGACCTCACCCAATCTGGGTCGACAACACATACGACCATACCCACTGGAAAACTCGGGATCCCGTCCGCTCTCCCATAGATAAGCCAGTGAGGGACAGAGTAGTAGTCGGGTCGGTGACGACCGGCGAACGCCTGTTGTTGTATGTTTTATTCTTTTGTAGTTTTTTCCAAGAAGGATGGGCTATCGCGTGGCATCGATCGGTCAGAGGGGAAGATCAAACGACTCGCAGCAGGAGAGACAATCTTAAGATTTCTGCCATTTAGATACTACCTCTGTATTGTCTTCATCCAGATTGTTGTTCCAAATCCAGTTCATTCTACTCTGCAGGTTCTCTTTGATCTTTTCAAGATCATCCCCAGCCGCTTCAAAATGCCATAGATGTCCAGCCTCTCTGCTCGTGGACACTACTCTTTGGGTGCGATCTACTCTCGCAGCACTGAATGCCTCAAAAGCTGCGGGCAAACCGTCTGCTTTCTCAATGCGTCGGAGAATCCTTCCCAAGACGTATGCATCCTCTACTGCCATTCCGGCGCCTGCTCCCTGAAAAGGAGTAGACGCATGTGCAGCGTCTCCAAGGAGACACAGTCGGCCTTTGTGATAGGCACTGGTAGGTGGCATGTCGAAAAGAGCCCAGATGTCAGACTGCCCCATTAGCCGGACGATGTTGAGCACGTCCTCGCCCCAGCCATCGAAGCTATCCAACATCTGTGTCTTGGTGGCTGGAATAACCATGGTGTTGTGTTCCCATTCTTTGCGTGACTGGAATGCGACAACGTTCATCATCCTACCTCCTGCCACGGGAAATGTAAGCATGTGGCCGTGGTACCCGAGGTAGGCTTGACAGTTCTTCGCCTTCTCTTCGCCGAGAAGCTCCACCGCCTTATCCATTGGTACCATTCCCCTGTAGCAGTACTTGCCGGTGTAGACTGGTTTGGCAAGGGTGTGGTCCTTATCAAAAATGACGCTTCGGACTCGACTCTTGATACCATCACACCCAATGGCGGCACTGTGGTGGGCTGTCGATCCATCCGCAAATTTGAGAATAACACCCCCTTTCTCGTTATCCTCAACATCAATGACAGTCTTTCCAAATTTAGCAATTCCTGGAGGGAGAAGTTTCTCCAACTCTTCAACCAGATGAGAACGATTGACCATCCAGCTGCCGGGGTCGGGATGCTCAACTGAGCAGAGATAAGTCCCGGCAACAACACCACGAGCTTTCGCTGCTGCATCGGGACCGTTCATGCCCACTCGGAAGTCAAACCAAGTGTTTCTTTTCTCTTTGGAAATGTTTTTGTTTGCGCGGGCTTCAACTGCAGAAGCCAACGGCATTGAAATTTGCCGAAGCGCTCTCACGACATTTGGCCCAAATGCGACACCTGCACCGATTTCACCGAACTTCGGGGCATTTTCGTATATGGTGACTGGAATACTTGTTTGGCTGGTAATGCAGAGAGCCAAGCAAAGACCACCGATACCGCCTCCGACAATTGCCAGGTCGAAATCGCTTGAAGTCATGTCGTCCAAGATGATAGTAAGTTGATTGGTTGAGGGTTGGGTGTTCGTTCAGAGTCCGTAGTTGGCCAGCACGAATATCCGTTCAATGAATGCTTCTCTAGGTAAGTCTTAATAAGAAGCAAGTTGGGATCAGAATTCTAGACTACGTTTGTGGATTCATTGAAAACGTGATAAGGGACGGAAGTTTGATCTCCTGGCTCGGTGAACCCAGGTGTGATTCGGAAAATGATGGAAAGTATACGGTGTCCGCTATCAGTACCTAGATCAGATAAGGCACCATATACCACATTATTGTGTCCAATCCAATATTTTGGCATAGCCATGCTACGAAAGTAGGCAGTCCGATTCGCCCGGGGGCTGGTTTCACTCATCGGCCGAAAGTCCGCTTCTTAACACACACCGGTGTACGCCGACCAGTCACAGCTTCGGGCACGTTTGACTACCTTCTGGCATCAATGCTACATTCCCTTTCATGGAACTGACGGAAGACTCTGAATCATGTTATTCTGATCTTTTACCAGCATCTGACTCACTCACCTTCCAACTTGAATCTTCGACGCAGGATCAAGACACTGCAGCTTTCGATGGCTTCAATGGCGGTTCCATTTGAGATTTACTACCCTATCGTACGAGCCAAGCTGCAGCAAAATGCCATCGCAGTGGCAGGATGGACTTTGCTTAGCGCCGTGACCTTAGCAGCTTTGCTGATTTGGTCGGTGGCGGTGGGCAACAAGATGCCAAAGCTTCCGATTGCGATGGGCGAAGAATTACCGAATCAACAGGAAAGAATCGACATGTTCATAAAAGACACTCGGAACCTATTGATAAGCAGCTATAACAAGGTGAAGCGAGGTCACATTAGTGTCGACAGCAATCCAAAGCTGACAGTTCAACCACATTAGTTTCAAAACCAGGTCTTTGGGATAACAACAACAGAAGGTTAGTTCGAGCAACATTGAATACTATGTCTCCTTTCTAACAAAGGTTTAGGCACCAACATCATGATCCCCCTCGACCTCCTCCCTGGGCTCGGAAGTACAAAGTCCTTGAGCTTCGGAGCATTTCTAGAGGAAGAGGTAAGTGATGCGATGATTTTGAAGGTCGCCCAATTCTGAACAGCTGCAGTTCAGCATGAAAAGGTACACCAAAGTCGGGAATCTTGACGACAAGCAGATTGCCATCTTAAACAAAAAGCTCAATCCTAGTCTAAGTAAGTTACACCCTATCACCCTGCGGAGGATGATCAAATTGGGACAGCGCTGAATTTTCCCAGATGAATATGTTCCGGTGCTAGTCAAGCTGATTCGACACCATTGGCCTTTGGATGAATATGATGGTGAGTAGATCAAAAGAGTCACCGATATCAGCAGCAATGCAGTCGTTCCAGCTCGATTGACAGCGAAATAATGCTTTGTCTTTTCCTATGACATCGTAGAGCGACCATAACCATGCTAATCATCATTCAAAGCAGGCCCTGTCACTGTCAAGCCCTGGTCGCATGTGATGCGTCAAGTATCGCGCGTTTCCGCCCGAATCTTTCACAGTTCTGACGCAGCCGAAGATGACCATTGGTTGGATATTGCCAGTGAGCATGTTCACTCCACCGTCGTTTGGACAGAGAACTTGAAGAAGTGGCCTGCGATGCTTCGTCCTTGGGTTTATCGATTCGTTCAGGGTCGAGGAATAATGACACAGCGCTTCGCCGAAGGTGAAGCAGTAGTGGCTGAGACGCTCAGGAAGAGGAAGGCGAGGAAGGGTGGCCATCTGAGCAGTCCCCCATCGCTTTTGGATTATCTTGCCGATGGTGAACTGGGTGGAGACGATGTCGAAGCGCACACTGTAGCGCAGATCAACCTTTGTGTTGCTGCCATCCAGTCCATGGCCTCGACAGTGACTCAGTGTCTCATGGACCTTGCGACGTATCCACACTATCTGCCTGAGCTTCGTGAAGAGATTACTTCAATGCTTGCGCAGAAGAATGGAGCCCTTGACAGACAATCTCTGGCAGATATGATGAAGTTGGACAGTTTCATCAAAGAGACCCAGAGATTGAATCCTCCAGATCTTGGTGAGTGCTTACCTGGACGATGGAGGCTAGTGACGAGTTTTGTTTTAGTAACATGGAATCCTACCCGCAGCAAGCTTCCAGCGTAAGGTTATGTCGGACATCACTTTGTCGAACGGTCTTCGAATCCCAAAAGGCGCGCGCATTGCTCTGCCGACCGGGGCAATCAACATGGACAGCCAGTTCTTTGAGGACCCCGAAACCTTTGATGGCTTCCGGTACTACAAGCTTCGGATGGAAAGTGAGGAGGCACGGAAGAGTAGCCAGATGGTGACAGTGGGAAAGAAAGATTTGACATGGGGCTATGGCAGGCACGCCTGTCCGGGTCGGTATGTTGCTGAAGTTGCAATGAAGCTGCTCATCATTGAGTACATCGTGCGTTATGATATCAGTCTACCTGCTGGTATCAAAGAGCGTCCAAAGAACATCGAATTCGAAGGGCTGGTGAGTATCTCAAATAACCTGGCTAGTGATTGGAGTTGCTAAACCACGGCAGGTCATTCCAGACCCCAATTGGGAGCTGATTTTCCAAAGTCGGTAGATGCACGGGCTGCAGAAGGCAAGGTTCGACTGAAAGATTGTTCATTGAGACGAGGAAACTGTCATCTTACGCAGATGGAAGTGTGTGGTGTTTTACACGGGTTAAAAGCTGCATTATCCCAGACAAAGTAGAAACAATAAGACTTCGAGATTTGATATTGGCCGTAACCGCTTACACCACAAGAGTCTACCACATCTGCAAACGGTAATTATGACATGGAAAGAATGGCGTCGTAGGTATCGAAATTATGGCATCCAATCATCACTTTCACACAGATTTGAACATTACGAATCGGCTGTCCAAATCCAAGTTGTATGAATGTACATCTATCTGAGAGCTTCCCACCAGTCCATGACAATTCATGTGACGGTCAAGCTCCTTTCTATTTCATGGAAACACCACCATTCACAAACATGTATTCGCCATTTATATACCTGGAGCGTTCTTCGGCCAGAAACGCCACCGCCCATGCTACATCTTCGACAGATGCTGCACCACCCTCCACCGGTGTCTGCCGAATAAGAGCTTCTTTTGTTGTCTCCCATTCGTCAGGAGTGAAATGGTCCAGAAAGCTTTCCGTAAGTACCGGACCGGGCGCCACCATGTTGACTGTACAGCCATACTTGGGCGGCAGCTCCTGCGCCCAAACCCGCAGAATGGCATCGAGAGCGCCTTTCGTAGCTGCATAGATACCCTGCGTAGGCTTTGGCACTCGAGATGCGACCGACCCCACCATAATGATCCTAGAGCCACCAATCGTCCCTGACATATTTGGAGGTTCCGAAGGATGATACGGCGTAAGATGTGGCAGAACTGCTTGGACCAGAGCAAAAGCCCCGCGGGCGTTCAGGTTCATTGCTTGATCCCATGCACTCAACTGGGAGTCCCAGAGGTACGCAATAGGAACCAAGCCCGCGTTGCTGATAAGAATATCGATGTGCCCGAATCTCTCAACAGCTTGGCGGACAAGTTCGGCAGGTCCATCGTCCGACGCAATATCCGCGAGAACCGCGATCCATTCAGTGTTGAGTTTCGATCCGACGTTCTCGCATTCTTCTTTCAGCGATGCCGAAGGATAGTTGAGAACGATGTTTGCGCCCCGAGCCGATAGCTCCGTAGCAATACCGGCTCCGATACCCCTCGAAGAACCCGAAATCAGTGCTGTTTTACCGTGCATGGTCCCTCGGGGTTGAAATATGTTGACCATTGCCGTCCGAAAAGACCAAAAGGCCGGGTCACTTCTGATTGAGGTGACGGAGGTGTTGGTGGTGATGGCTTTGGGCTGACTAAAGGCACAACATTAATCAGATTGAGGAGATAAATCACGGAGAAAGGAAAAGTTAGAACTTGTGGCCATACGTTCATCCCATTGCATTGGTACGTGCAGGTTCTGATGTATGTTTTGCCATCGCTGGGTTGAATCTTGCGCGGCCCGCAGGATCTCAAGCTCGGCAAATTATCGCCGAAGACCACCGAAACGCAGTACGCAATGAAGCCGCACCCACCTGCACAATCCAAGACTACGTACGATCTTCTTTTGACAGGATGCAAATTCACCATGGAATGGCACAGATTGCTATCGTTTTCTATTCAGCGACTTTCGCGCTTTCGGCCGTGCGCTATTCCAATCAAACCCGACCCTCCTCGTGGCAAAACGATCATGCCTCAATTGGCATTTCGGGGACGTCCTTCAGGCCCGGAAGATCCTCATACTTCTTGGTGAAAAATGCACGCGGAATATCTGGGCCCCAGCTCGAAACTACTGCCGCAACAGCCGGTTCATTGGCGTGTTTGGAATCCTCATTGACCAGGTCTCCATCAACGTAATGCTCAACTACGAACCCAGAGGGATCAAACCTATAGAAGAATTAGAAAGTGGCAGGTCGTTTTGGTAGTCCTTGCGCTTTCTTACCAATAGTCAAAGATCTGACTGCCTAGAACATGTCGTCCGACGCCAAAGACGTTTATATGGCCCTTTCGAATGAGATAGTGATGTCCAACCACTTGACTATCGACATCATCAACTTCGAAGCTGCTGTGGTGTGCTTTGATCCCCTCCGTGACCTCGGGAGACCCTGCGATGAAGATATTCTAGGAAGAAACCAGATCATTAGCAAACTAAAGCAGCCTTGGGCGGCGGAGGTGACAAACATGATGGTCTACAAATTCTTTGCCCTTGTCCAGGTGGATGAAAATCATGATAGTCTTGTTGTTTTGGGGGTGGTACAGGCAATCCGTCTTCTTGAGATTGAAGGTCTTGGCGTACCAGTCGAACACTTCGTGAAGTCTATCGACATTCACTTCGAATCCGTAGTGACCCAGCTTGTGGACCTTCGACGGTTGGTCCCGGTCAGGTCGCTGGAACTCTCCGAGCCGTCGCTTGTCTTCCCAAGTGTTCCACATCACCGGTTTTGGTACCTCCCTTGGCTCTGGGACTCGGTCCTGTTGCCCGTAAATGAGAGTGATCTCCTCCCCCGCAAGATCCTTCACAATCACCACCTTCCCCCCACCTGGGGCATCGTAATCAGCTATGGGCGTGGATCCCGGAAGCTTGGCCGCTTTCTCTAGCTCTGCCATAGACTGCACAATCCAGGCCCCTCCCCTGAATTTTCTTTTCCCATCGCTGGTCTTCTCTGCCACGTAACAAAATTGATCAATACCAAAACCCCGGAAGTAAATCTTGGTTTCTGTCTCGCGCACAGGCGTCAGACCGAAGTCGGTGAAGAACTCCTTAGCCTTTTGCAGATCGGGGTGACCGTAGCGCACATGAGACAATCGATCAAGAAGGATTCTCGGGTCCATTGCAGGTGGTATCACTGGTAAAATGAGGTTGGAAGTTTTGGAGCGCAACTGAAGCAGCCAAAGCAATATGCGATTCAGAACACAGAAACAACTGTGATTTTTCAGATCTTGTCGAGAACTATTTCCCCGCACATACCATTATAAATGCAACAACTGCAAGGTTTGGGGTTGCCCAAGATTCCTTCGGCATCTTTCGGTGTAGCAAGTTTCATCACGGAACCCTCGGCCGGCTGTCCCACCAGTTCTAAACCTCAAGAGAGATAGCTTATGTCATGGCCTTCGAGGACAAGTTCATATTTCTATCAAGCCTCATCGAGAATGCAAGCGAGATCAGAATTACGGACCCAACTCTTTCCCAAATACAGCCAGGATTTTATCGCAACACTGCTGGTATCCACTGACAATGTCGTTTCATCGACTCATTCGATTTCTTGACGAAGATGGGCAGGAGAAGTACGGAGACGTCAAAGATGAAACGCCAGTAGAACACCTGGAAGGTAGCGTCGTGCCGCTCTTGACTGGTAATATCAAGTCCGGGTTTCATGAGTCTGATCAGAATGCGAGGGTTGCTAAGGTACTGATTTGCGATTGATCAATGCGTTTGGGAGAAGCTAAGCATGACTCTGTAGCTGCTATCACCACTGCCGGAAACGCCCATCATAATTTGCGCTGGTGTTAACTACAAGTCTCATGCCAAAGAGACAAAGGTGAGTACTTAACTGCAGTGAATGCATAGTTTTCAGCAACTCTCCTGCTGACGTGTGCTGCAGTTTACCCCGCCTAAGAAGCCCGTCATCTTCGCAACCCCTCCTGACCGGCTTGCGGGTCCATTTGATGATATTCACATTCACCCGGATGCACAAGAGCTCCTCGACTACGAAGGAGAACTCAGTGTTGTCATTGGAAAAGACGCATATGACGTAAGCGAAGAAGAAGCCTTAGACTACGTCCTAGGATACACTGTCAGCAACGATGTTTCTGCCCGGAGTCTACACGCTCCCGACGTTTCTGGGTACCAGATGGGCTATGCCAAGTCCTTCGACAAGTTTGGGCCGATAGGACCTTATGTGGTGTCTCCGACTCTCGTCTCGGACCCTCAGATTCTGAAGTTAACGACTTATGTGAATGGTGACGTCCGGCAGAGTAGCGACACGTCGCAGATGATATGGTCATGTCGGCAGCTAATCTCTTTTGCTTCACGTGGACGAACGCTTCGCCAAGGCACTATCATCATGACTGGGACACCCGAGGGCGTCGGATGGCACACGAACGGCTGCCTCAAGGATGGGGATGTTGTGAAGGTAGAGATTGGACAGCTTGGTTACATCCAGAACAAAATGGTGTTCCAGAAGAAGGAGTAATTCGTATCTTAGAACGCTTATGTAGCCCACTCATTCTTTGGAGGGACTTGCGAAACTATTTTTATACCGTACGAGTCTCGTCTAGATCTTGATAGACCCTGACGGTCAATATCATAACATGGAGTTTAAGACTGAACAAAAAAAGATTGTCTGTAAATGGATACAATTATTGAACTCCACACACTTGTCGAATAGTCTTCTTGTATGCTGCTTCACGACTTGATGCCAGCAGCAGTTAACTTCCGAGACTTGTGATTGACCCAACATTTGTAAGCGACTGCCCTGACGGAGATATTTGTCAAACGTCGCGCCCTTGCCAAACGCTCAGCGTATGTGAGATCGACATCCCCCAGCCAGTATTCCTTTGTGACATCTCAATCACGGGGAGCCATACAGTCCGAGACAATGGGCAAGGGCCATGAGACCTCCGCGGTCTCTATGCAGAGCTCATCGTGAGTTGCATATACGGGTCAATTGCAATAACAAGGGTTCGGGCCTGTCGGCCGAATTTCCCGACACCATAGAACGACCCCTGTCAGGGGCGGTCCAAGTGGGCTAATTCAATTCTATCTCCTCTCATCGCCTTAAAAAGGAACCGAGGAAGACTTCCAGGTGCGTGGACGGTATCACTTTCATCACATTGGTCAATCCCTGTGGCGCGAAATCATGTCCCGAGGACTCACAGCCGCCGCTAGTGGTGCCATCCTCCTGAGAGGCGGCACCCTCCTCTATCATGGTGACCAAGACCATGTGGAACCGCTACGGGATACCGATATCCTTGTCAGGAACAACCGGATCGCCAAGATTGGAAAGAGCATTGCTGCCCCAGTTGATGCGGAACTTGTCGACTGCAGAGGCAAGATCATCACCCCCGGATTCGTGGACACGCACCATCATCTTTGGCAAACGCAATTGAAAGGTTGCCATGCGGACCAATCAGTGTTCGATTACATACCGACCGGTACGTGGGTACATCAGTGACTGTGAACATGTCGGTGTCATGAATCAGTTGACTGATGGAGGCGCGTATTCGCTACACCGTAGGCTTCTGGCAAAGCTATGTGTACACTCCCAAGGATATGTTCTGGGGCCAGCTGGGAGGCGCGTTGGAGGCCATCGCCTCAGGCACAACATTTGTCCTAGATCATGCTCACGGGAATCAGTCTAATGATCATGGTAAGCGCTCAACACCATGAGGAGGGGCAGGCTGGAGATCAATTTTCATCGTGTGTCTGATGCATTGAATAGCCCGTCAAGCCTTATCCGCAACCATCGCGTCTGGGATCCGCTCCATATTCGCATACTCCCATGCACCTTACTTCACCAAATGGGACGCAAAGAGCTGTGAGCTCTCTCGAGACATCATGCCAGAGTCCAGCATGGCTCATATTTTTGAGCTTGCCCAGCAGCAGCCGTTTGGCAACGGGAGAGTTCACATTGGATTCGGCTTCGACTACTGGTTCTTGCCCAAGGAAGCTGTCGTCGGCATCTTTTCCCAGCTTCGTGGTGCAGGCATTAAGCTTTTCACGTCTCATTACGCCAAAAACCCCACTTTTGGTACATCCAGCCCGTTTCTATTCTTACATGTCTGCTAGGGCGCCTGGATGTGAGCTAACCATCTTCCAGGGAACCACCCGCTCATTCACACATTGGCGGCGTATAACCTTATCAAGACACCAAGTGACATCTTATTGTCGCATGCTACAGGCCTCGATGGACATGAGAAGGCCAAGCTAGCAGAGACCCAGGTCCCCGTATCCAGCACGCCCGGTACGGAGGCACAGATGGGATTTGGTTGGCCACTGGCTTTCACACCTGGCATCAACTACACACTGGGCGTTGACTGTCACACTAACAATACCTCCTCCATTCTATCCCTTGCCCGGACTGCGCTGCAGCTCGCACGTCAGAGGAACACCGTGAAGGAAATGAACGGCGGAGAGGGCGCTCCTCAGCGCATGGACCTGCATCCAACGGGCAGCACTGAAGATGCATTCAATGCAGCTACTATCAGAGGCGCACGCGCAGTCCTTTTGGGGAACGAAATCGGGTCAATTAAGGAGGGAAAACTAGCTGATCTCGTCATCTTCGATGCCTTGGGAAGCGTAGGCATGAGCTGTGTCTCTGAATCAGATCCCCTGACTGCAGTTGTTCGCCACAGCGACAGCCGCGACATTGAGGCCGTCATGATTGACGGAGTCTGGAGGAAGAGGGACGGCAAGTTGTGTCCAGTGACCGTTGAAGAGACAGGGGCTAGCCTGGCATGGCCGGCTATCAGGCAAAATCTACTGGAGAGCCAACGCGATATCCAGGAGAGGCAAAAGAATCTGAATGTCGACAAAGCGAAGGAAGCACTTGTTGCTATGTTTCAGATTGATAAAAGCAAGCTTGTGAAATCTTGATTTGGAAGATCTCGACCATAGTCAGCTATCCTTCATATAATTAGGTAGATCAAGTGACGGCAATTTGAAACCCAGGATGAGCTCACAACTTTGTATCGTCTCATATTTCTCATCCGGGATGCCAGGTTTGATAGTCAAAAGGCCTACAAATGTGCCTCTCTTTCGGAGAGAGGGGTTCGGCAAGGTCTCCGCGGGTATATAAGACCTGTCCTGCCTAGGTGCCGTAGCTTCTGGTTCAAATTTCTTCATAGACATTTGACATCTCTTTGCGCAATCATCTAGTCCTGCAAATTTCCGCTGAATAATTTTCGCCATCGACCAAATAGCACGAACATGCCCAACCCAATTCCACCACTGATCACACTTGAGGAGCACTTTGTCTCGCAGGATAATTTCAATGCTCTTTCTGAGCTGTACGCCGAACAGCTCAAGCACCTGCCCGAGGTTGCTGATCAACTGTTAGATGTCAGCCGGCTTCGACTGGCCAGCATGGACAAAAATGGCATTTCCTTCCAGGTCATATCGCATGCGCCAGGTCTAGGGCCGAAGCCGGCAAGATACAGCTCCTTGGCCAACGACGAGCTCGCTAGGGTAGTAAAAGCACGTCCGGACCGGTTCGCCGCATTTGCCGTGCTTGCCATGGCGGAGCCCCAGGCGGCCGCTGCAGAGCTTCGGAGATGCGTCGGAATGGGATTCGTTGGCGCTCTTGTGGACGCCCATGTCGACGGCGTTCACTATGATGACAGAAGGTTCTGGCCGGTGTTCGAAGCCGCAGCCGACCTTGATGTACCGATTTATCTTCATCCGACATATCCAACTCCGTTACAGTCGTCTGTTTACGAGGGTCAATACGAGCAAGGTGCGGCGCGAAGCCTTGGCAGCAGTGGCTTCGGCTGGCATCAGGAAACAGGGTTAGCAGTGCTGAAGGTATTTGCTGCCGGACTTTTTGACGAGCTCCCGTCCCTCAAAATCATCATCGGTCATTTCGGAGAGATGCTGCCATTTATGATCGAGCGGATAGCCAAGCTCTCGGTTCGATGGGGGACTCGGCTGCGACCATGGCGACAAGTATGGAGGGAAAACGTGTGGATTACTACTAGCGGAGTGTGGGAGCTAGCACCTATGGCCTGCATCCTCAGAAACACATCCTTGAGTCACATTCTCTATAGCGTTGACTACCCGTTCGAGAAGAATGAGACCGGCTTGGCCTGGATGAGAGAACTCCAGGCAAGTGGGCTAGTTACCCCGGATGAGCTCGAGATGATCGCGCACCGAAATGCCGAGCAGCTCTTAAAGCTGAGTATCCCGACACATGAAGCTATGGTTTGATGAGGATACCGGGAGCCCCCAGCTAGTGTCAAAGTTTACACCTTGCCGTAGAAGTCCGGATTAGAATAAAAATCAGATATTCCTTTCTTATTGCCTTCATATGTTCCGCTGTGGCTTGTATCTCTGCTTCCCAGCATTGCTCTCGCTGTGTCTTCATTTTGTTGGCTTTCCTACACGACCCAATCACTCAAAATTGTTCCAGCAGCAATGACAACCACCGAAACGTCCACTGTGAAGGCAGTAGCCTTGGCTGGGGTAATTATGAGCAGCGCTTGGTTCATTTCCTATGCCAGACCACGTTGCTGATCAAACGTTCGTTCCCAGGCTGGCGGGAAGCTTGGCAGGCGAGTTCTTGACGCTCTCGTAGATGCAGGCTTCGACGTAACGGTGTTGGTACGCCGTCAAAGCATCCCCTCTAGCTACCCACCTGGTGTTCGGGTCCGTGAGATAGACTACGACTCAATTGACTCACTACGAGAGGCCCTTCGCGGCATCGATGCCGTCATCTCCACGGTCGGCAAGCGGAACGGGCTCGAAAGCCAATTTCGCCTCATCGACGCCGCGGTCATGGAGGGAGTTACTCGGTTCATTCCATCTGAGTTCGGCGCCGATCTTCAACAAAAAGAGATCCGCACATTTCCGACGTACCAAACCAAAATCGAGGTTGAAGAATATCTTGAGAAGAAGGCCCGGGAGACCAATCTCACGTACACTTTCATATACTGCAGCGCACTATTCGACGAGGGTTTGGATTTGGGTGCATTTGCAGACTTTCAGGCCAAGAAGGTCAACTTTTTTGATGGGGGCGCAACAACATTCAACGCAACGAGAAGCGTTACAGTCGCTGACGCTGTAGTGGCTATTTTGAACAAGCTCGAGGCCACCAAAAACAAAGCCGTTCGCATTCGAGACGTCTCCATGACGCCTAAGGAACTGCTGAAGGCCATTCAAGGGCTCGACAAAAATGCCGACTGGACTTCTGTCGCCATTGACACTGGGAAGCTCGTTCAAGGAGCACAAGCCGAGCTAGCTTCGGGGAAATTCAGTCCGAAGGCCTTCGCCGCTTTCGCAATGAGAGCCACGTTTGCGCCAAGGTTGGCCGGACAGTACGGCGATGACAACGACCTTCTTGGAATCAAGGACATTGCGAAGGATGACCTCGAAAACGCATTGAAGTCTAGATTCTTAGTTTGAACGTTGAATTGGGGTGGCGTCTACAGAAATAGTGTATAGCTTCATTGGTACAATTGTAAACGTGCACCTCTCCATCCTCCTTGTTGCTTCCTCTCGGTATGATCATAGGCATGTACCCACACGTATGTAGCGTTAGCTCTCAGCGAAATATAATCTGCCGTCTTCGCTAGTGAAGTCGCACATGTCATCAGCGTCTTCCAACTGCCTCATCATCTGGTCCGCTTGAGACATCGCACTCTGGAACTCCTGCATCTGCGGACCAGGATTGGAGAATGTCTCAAGCGAAGCTTGGTTGCCTTGCGTGTAGATGGAATTTTGCCTTGTCGAGAGACCACCTACCCTTGTCGGCCCTCCAATGGTGGAGTCTCCTCCTCTATATGCAGCAGGGTTAGAATGCTTGGCTGACAGAGATGACGACTTCCGACGCCTCATTCCGTTCTTTCTTCGTCTCCGAGCTATCTCGATAGTTTTCATGACAGAGCGCCACTGGTGCACTCGGCTATGCTTCGTTGAAGAGTCCCAGCGGAGCACCGCACTCTGTTCTACGACTCTCCAAGCCTTATCGGCGTCCCTACTCAACGGCTGGTTGCAAAGCTCAGACAGTATGATGGCAAACGCATGCCACTCATTGTAGCACTTCGTCAGCCATGACCAATTTGCCAGCAAAGGGTCAGTCCGTAATCTGTACGAATATATCATGCACTCAATGGCCCCCTGGAAGACTTGGCGTTTTTGTTCGTCGGTCAAAGATACTCCAGTCCCTAACGGATTGAGCACCATGATTCGCAGATTGGCAATGATGGTTCCGATAAAGGACATTGTGAGCTGGCCGTATCGTGTAAGTGACCGACTTCGCAAGAATCATGGAGAGTGCGCTTACACAGTAAAGAGGCTCCCGCGATGTTGGGTCTTCAGGAAAACGAGCATATATAATCTTTCGCTGCTTCTCAACCCACGCTTCTTTATCAGTGGTTGTCATTGACGCGAAGCTTAACCCTGTATCCGGGTCGATTTGGCGTGTGTCGATCATGGTCCGCCACAGATTCGACGCCCAGCAGCGAGCAGCGGTGAAAGACATGTCCGTGATGCCATCTTGTTCCCTTGGGTATTCTGTCATGCCGGGGTACAGAGCGGAGTCGTTCACATTCATAGGCCGCCTGGAGTTAAAGCTACTGAGCTCTAAGCTAAACCATCATTCTGGATCAGTAAGAGTAATTCGATGGGGGGTGAAGATTGACTTACAGTCCAGAGGAGCACGAATAGTCCTCAGATGCTGGCGTGTCTAGAACGCATAAGTTCCACCAAAGACGACGTCGCATCTCTGCTTCGAACGGCGGTAGATTAAGTGTGCTCCCATCCCGGTGCATGCCGAGAGACTGTGATAAACGGACAGCCAAGCCTGTCATGGTCCAGGAGTACGTGGGGTCGCGGCAACGAAGTAGAATCAGATAGGCAACAAATGCTTGCAGGGTGAGCATGTCGTCCGTTTCCATCAATCTGGACCGGGTAAAGGCAGCGTCTGCGTCGCGCCTAAACCTAGTCAGTAACACCGACTGCTCCTCTCCAAACTGAAGTGGGGTGTCATCCTCTGGCAAACTGTTCACGGCGCCAAAGTAGATGACAAACATCAATGCTTCCACGTTGGGAGCTAGGTCCTTCGGGTTTTGTATCGCTCCCAGCACCATCTGTTCGACAGACGGTATGTGTAAAACAGTAGCCACGGGGTGTATATTTGACTTGAAAAGGTGCCAGGCCTTGAGTCTGTGATGCTGTGGAGGGTGTGATGAAGGGCTCTCCGTATCTCGAGTGCTGGTGCTGAAGATGAAAGAATACTGTGAGATATTTGGTGCCAAGGCTGCGCCCGTACCCTCGTAATCCGATTCTTCTTCGCTCATCATGCCGTCACTCATGTCGTCCTGTTATCAAACATGAGCAACCCGCATCATAGGTTCGAAGACATGATAACTTACCTCAGTATGCAAGGCTTCCCAGAAGGTTCCACTCACGTATCTATCCCGACCATCATCCTTGACCAACTTGCCCGTTGAGACTCCGTATGGTGACCAAGAAAGGTTCGATTCGGCTTCAACCTTGTCCCCATTCATTCTAGATGCATGTGTGCTGGAAGATGTGCTTGCTAGGGACTCTGCTTCTCTCGGTGGCGATTGTCCAGTCAAGGCGTTTGCATCTTTTGGCGCACTGAATGTAGTCGCTGGTACCTGCTGCTCACGATGGACGGCGCCTGTAGATCCTACGGAGTAGGGCGGCGTTGGGGGCGCCGGAGATGGATGCTCAGCCACGGTCCCTGGCCGTTGGTCTCGAGATTGGGCTGAAGATACGTCGGTGGAAAGGTTTGCTTCGCGAGCTGTAGTCGACGAAGATGAAATGGAGGAGAAAGGCAAAAACGATCCTTGTTGCACACAATCGGCCAGTGTCTTGAACATGGGCTCCAGGCGATGGAGCTGTTCCCAAAGTTGGGAATCGGTCAACATCTGGCGCCCAGCTGACGCGCTGTCCGATGGATAAACGCATTCGGCGCCGAACTTCTTGCAATTATGACATGGCTGCTTCTTATCGCATCCAACCTTTCGACGACGACATGCCATGCATACCCGACGTGGAAGTGCCTGAATGCGAGGTTGGGTGGCATCTTGTCCTGCTGTCTGCTGCTGTGACTGGTTCAGGTCTCCTAATTGTGCAGGATTCCAAGCAGACACGATGGAATCTGCCGTCTCGTGATTGCCGGGGTATGGTCGGGATTGGATGGTGTCCGGAGAATTCATGATTGCTCTCAAATTACAACGCACGAAATCGAATCTGCGAGCCTCCAGCGGCGGGTTTTGGGATGAAGGGAAGGAAGCGGCAGTTAAACCGGTCTATGGCTTCCACCCCAAAAGCATTAAGAGGGGTCGTCCGTCACCTGCACAGCTCCGGTGGATAAGGGAGCAATCGGAAGGTTGGGATGTTGACGAAGATAACAATGACGAACCCCACTCCCTCTCCCTCTGAAAAAGGGGTCTCACTATCACCAGCCATTTGCAAGGAACTCAACGGCAGAAGGGGGCGCAATACTAGCCAAGCGATAAGGTACGCGGGTAGTGGAGCAGGCATAATGCGGGGGTGAATGAATCGAGGCACACCTGATTACCACCCTCACCCTCCTAGCGACGTGCTGAAAAGCCGGCACTTGTTAATGGGCCGTCGACGATCTGCCTGGCTGTTCTAAAACAATCTGGCGCAAGGCGAGTGGGATGTGGATCGTGTGTCCTAGTTGAGACATACGTAGACGGGATGATTTCAGAGGAACATGGTTCGCGCCTACGACTCCATTCGGAATGCAATGAAGAGCAGGGACAAGCCAAAGTCTTAGTAATTAGGTTCATCGAAACAATGCCGATCTTGTGACCAAGACTTGAAAACAAACGAACAGCGCTTGACCGAGTGGAGGCGTCTCATCCCTGTCCATCTTGGCCGTGATGGCTAACCGCGTAGCTCGGCCGACACCTCCGGCCCAGGCATTCCGTGGCCAGAGTTCAAGGCAATGACCCATGACCTTTTTCGTTACCAGACAAGTTAAGAGACGGCGACCTTTTCTCCAATTTTCGATACAACACTTCGTACTTCAACGATTCATTTGACACAACCTCATTTGTGAATCAAGCTATGGCTACATCCTCAACCACAGGGACAGAGTGTTCAGAGTGGCTCGTCCGCGTCCCTGACTTTCCGGGTGTCGCGGAGCGGAGAGCAGCCGTGTTCCCGTAAGTCGATCACATTGCGCACAGGCTGCTAAGATGGGTATCGTACATGAAACATGAAGGCTGACGAACGCTGACAACAGCCAACACATTGAGAAGTTGAAAACAGATCCCGCCCAGTTTTGGGTGTTTGGAGGTGGGCTACCCGTATGCCGCCGGCCGAACAGGGATGCATCAAGCTAACATTCGGCGGTGCAGGAGCCACTCTGGCGGAGCCCGTGGACCCCGGCCGGCCCCCGCACATCACCGGCAGCGCCATGTTGATCTTTGCACTCACACGAGAAGACGTCTTGGATCGGCTTAAGAACGACCCGTTGACTAAGGAGGGCGTTTGGGATATCAACAATATTCAGATTTACCCTTTCTTTCGCCCTAAGAGAGTTCCTGTATGAGAGTGTTGATAGGGATATCTTTCTTCCCTTCTAAGTTTTCTTCTTCGCAGTTTACTGCCTGGAGGCGCACTTTGTTAACTACTATATAATTCTTATAGGGAAATAATCGAGGGCTAGGATAGTTTATAGAGAAACTTCTATAGTTATTTATAAAAGTATATAAAGAGAGCATAAATCGCTAAAGAGTAAATATCTCCCTCTTTACGCTATTATAACCTATTACTCCTTTAATATTAAGATATTATTACTATATTATATTAATACTATCTATTATTACTTTAAAAGTAGTAATAACTTCTTTATAATTATTTAAAAAAACTAAAATAAAATATATAGATTTTTATATATATAATTTAATCCCTTAATATAAAGTTTAATAATATATTAAATATATTCTTATTTTTTACTAATATACTTTAATAAAACAATATATTATTAAACTAAAGTATAGAGATATTTTAAGTATATTAAAATAAACTTTAAGATAAATAAACTATATAACGTTAATTAAATTAAACGTTTTATATTATTAAAGTATAGTACTTTATTAAAGGAACTTAAGGATATATATATAATTACTATAGCGTAATAGTAGTTAATAGGGGTAGTTTACTAGATATATAGGGGGTAGTTAGAGTAAGGGGGACCTCTTATATATCCTTAGTTATACAAAAATTCACAAAAGAATTCTTCACAAAATGTTGTCATATAATCGCTGCAGATGAAGGAAACTATACAGTATTGACAACCAGGCAATTACTAACAGTGTTGTATGCTAAGCCACAGCCAAGATCATCTCATGCAACCGAATGTCGCATATGCATGTCTCAAACAATCAAGAAGGCGCCTCAAAGTCCGCATGTCGGGCCCAAAGCTCTCTCCAGAACTCGCCTAGGATGCCGACACTCTTGGGGTCACCTGGAGGCAACAATTGGGTAACAAATATGGCTCCCATTCGCTGCTCGCGATTAATGAACCATCCAATATTGGGCATGCCATTCCAAGTCAAGGTCTTTGCGGGCAAGTTAGGCACGGTCCCTTGGGTAACAAGACCCCCTAGACCAAATGCGACCTGAGGATATCCCGAGCTATCCCCAGTCAACTGTTCATGCAGTGACTGAAAGATTTCGCGTCAGATTGAGACTCTTATTGGATGCAGAAAGAAGCGTACCTTTTGCTTGAGTAAGCCATCGTACATAGGTGATCCGTGCTGGAACTGCGGAATGAACATGGTTTCCACCGTCTCTGCTTTCAGGAGTAGCGGTGTATCACGCAGAAGGTCCCTCAAAACCGATGCAAAATCAGAGCTAGAGGTTATCAAACCCATGCCGCCAGAATCATCTTGCGCATCAACTGGGTACGGTGATGAGATAGGTACCAGCTCTCCTATGTGATTGCGAAGCCACATCTGGGCGGCGTCCTTCTCAATGTCTGGTCGCTGCCGCAGGTGGAAGGTTGATCGTCTCAGGCCGAGAGGTTTGAAAATATTTTCGTCCATGTAAATGCTCAAAGTCTTGCCGCTCACTCTCTCGATCAAACTTCCAGCCCAGTCGAGGCCCGCGCCATAAACCCAACTACTACCGGGTTCGAACAGGAGTGGAAGAGAAAATGCTTCGTGCACTCTCCCGCTCATTACCAATGGCTCCTCGCCGCGAGACTTTCGCCAAGCAACCAAAAGAGGGTGCATAGCATCGTAGGAAAGCCCGCTCGTGTGTGTTATCAGGTGGCGCAAGGTAATTTTGTTTGTGGCTGGTTTCAGCTGAAAAGATCCGCCGGGACCTTCAAAGATAATATCTGGGCTTTTCAGCTCAGGCAAAATGCTTCCGACCTCATCGTCTAGGTTTATTAACCCCCTTTCGGTGAGTTGCAGCACGCAAATCGTGGTGAGTAGCTTAGTGCAAGAGAACCCAGAGAATAAGGTTTCGAGTGTGATATCCTCGTTACTGTCTTTCTTGGCTCGGCCGAGGCATCTGCTGAAGACAATATCTGGAAACAGAGTTTATAAAAGATACTGGTTACATTTGGAGCAGGTTTAGGTACCACTTTGGTTGAATACGGCGAGTGCAACACCTGGGAGGCCCGTAGATGTGTCTTGGGTCAAAGATACCAGTGTCTCCTCGCAGGCTAACCTCATCTTCTCGAATGTAGCACGACGGTGAAAAAGGTTTGTCCGTTCAATATGTCTCAGAATCTTCACAATCCTTTCATACCAGACTGCCAGATGAACTTTCTGTTCATATACTGGACACTAGTCGAAGCAATGACTACTTTTGACATGAAGACGACTTTGCCTTTTTGCGGCCATTGTCGGCCACTTCGGCCGACAGCCGACAGGGTCGTATTTGCCCAGGAATATGATCTGTTAGCCTCAGAAAGCTCCTCTATGGATCTCTCTAAGTCATCGGAAGCTCTGCTTCGCCCCTTGGACTGCTTACCGAGTTGCTCGTCTTAACATTGCGCGACGTTCGGCATTTCCTGTACCGCCACTCGTTCTTGACCAGTGGGCCAGAGTGTTATTCTCAATATGGCGCATTCAAATGCTTCGTCTTCACAGCAGCCGCCTAATCCCGACCCTGCGCCGGCAGCGCCAACAGTAACATCAGCGCCAGCGCCGACAAGCAATGCCGGGAGAAAACGACGATCTTGCAATCTTTGCAGCCGACGGAAAGTCAAGTGCGATAAGCAAAAGCCGTGCAGAAACTGCGTCAAGTATGGCGGGGAGTGCATTTTCCCGGCAGGCAAGACAGCCCAGACTGAAGTTGCTGTAGCGCCTGAGCTTGTCGCGATGCTACAACGGCTGGAGAAAGTTGTTCAGACTCTTGAACCAAAAGAACCTGAGCAGCGACAAGGCAATTCAGCACCTTCCCCTCCTCAGCCAGAAGGGACCCGCGAGCACAAGCACCCCTCTCCCCCGGCTTCTGCACCGACCATCGAGATTCCTGCGACTGAAGTCGGCGTTGAGGCTCTTGTACACGATGACACAGTCTGCTTTGAAGACTATGGCCAAGCTTCGGAGCCGTCGAAGGATAGTGTTCCAAAGACCAAAGATGGTGAGAACGGCGGCAGAATAATTGTTGATGCTGGGAGAGACACATACGTCAGACGATGGTTTTGGGAGACTCTTAATGCTGAGGTGAGCACTTTTTTGCCACATATTGTTGTGTTTACAGCTTCTCACCGCGGTTTTACAGGCTAGCAGTGATTCCGCAACGGACGATGAACGCTCAGATGTGGAAGAGTGTTGCGATTTCGTGCCGACGACTTCAAAATCCGGAAACCCAGATCCTACACACGCATCAATACAACAGACTGGGAGCAAAGAGCGCGTATTGGCTGTCCTCAACTCGCACAAACACCATTTATGGAAGGTCTACAAAGAACGCGTTGAGCCTCTCACCAAATTGCTTCATTTGCCTTCGCTGGAACAATCGACGATCGCGTCAGCCAGTCCTTCTGCCCCGGCTCCTAGACAGAGTTCGCGGTGCATCCTGCTGTCTCTCCAATATGGTGCTGTGACAAGTCTTAGCGAGGAAGAGTGTGGTGAAATCTTCAATCTCTCACAGGCACAGGTACTCTCTTTGATGCGTGATATAATGGGTCAAATGTTCTCGGACGCCATGCTCATTCATACTGGAGACATACAACCACTACAGGCATTGGTCTTGTACATCATCTTCCTTCGGCACCATGAGCCGAGACTGTCTTGGAACCTCACTGGGTTGGCAGTAAGACTTGCTCAGAACTCTGGAATTCATCGAGAAGGTTCTTTGTTTCGACTTTCGAAGTTCGACATCGAGATGCGGCGAAGACTATGGTGGCAGATCGCGGTCCTCGACACACCTTCTGCAGAGGACTACTCGGGCGAGTACAATCTGTTAGTCCCTCCACCCGAGAACAACACATCATTGCAGTTTCCTGTCTAACTTACATGAACAGACTCGAGATGAGCAGTTGTGATACACAAATGCCTCGCAATCTCAACGATACTCAACTGCATCCGGCCATGATGGAGTACCCACCCGAAACAAGAGGCATCACAGAGATGACGTTTACCTTGGCGCGGTGCCAGATAACTAGCATGTATCGTTGCATGATTGACTCGAGGAGGACCTGCGGAGCTACAGGGAAACCCTACTCACAATTATCCTTCCAGGAACGATCCGACTGGATCGATGGTTGTGAGGCAGCGTTTTCGCAGAAGTACCTGAGAGAATGTTCTCCCACAATCCCTTTCCATTGGGTAAGTAATCACCTTATCTGGCTGAGTAAATGCAGCCAAATGGATCAATACTGAGGATTGAGCCCATAGGTCACGGTGATTCTTACTCGCATGCTTTTCCACAAAGTCAGATTGCACGGATGTAATCCACTACAAGAACCAGACGATTTGTCGGAAACCATTCGTAAAACGCTCTTCCTTGTCGCCGTTGAGGTGATTGAGTTGAACTACAAGCTGAGAACGGATCCGCGAACACGCCCCTGGGCCTGGCTCTTCAGCTCGTACACTCAATGGCATTCTTTCTCGTTAGTCCTCGTCTGGTTGCAACAGGACCCTCTCTGTAAGGGATCACGACGGGCATGGGAAGCAATTGAAAAGGCTATTGTTCTCAGATGGGAGCATCCCCTTTCGCTCCTGGGCGGCAAAAAGCCCCAGCAATGGCGATCGATCATAAGGCAGCTTGGGAGAGCACGTTCTATACGGCAAGATGCTCTTGGAAAGAGAAAGAGACGAGCATCCCGTGCATCCCAGCTCACGGGTGCACCTTCAGCAGCCCCATCGAATGGCGGCATGGCCGCCAGACGTCCGTCACCTGCGCAGACCTTTCCTCAACCTATCCAACAGCAGCCCCATCTCTCACCACAAAAGGCATCGGATCAGACGGTTGGCCCGCGTAACGCCGCACTTGATGCTACCGAAGACGTGTACATGTCGCCAGACGCCATGATGTCGGGATTGGGAGACCACCAGTCAAAGAACTCAATTCCCAGCTTCAACTACGGCGATATGTCAGATATGATGGCACCGTCAGATACGATGATGATCGATGAGGAATTTTCAACTGATGAATTTCAGAGTTTGCCCGACTTCTTGTTCCTCCAAAGCATTTTCCAGAACGCTAGCTAGTCCTTTGAGGAACAAATTGAACATGAAATGACTTCACTATCCGAGCACATTCTTATAGCTGTCCCAGTTCCGGATGTCAATTGATTTACGTAATCTTCTATGGAACATGATCAAGTCCTTATCTACTTTAAGCCGTTCTGTCCCAGTTTGCCCTCTCTAATCTCTTTGTGTATCCCGCTGTTCCCTTCCAACCCAGCGTGAGTGGCGTCGTCCATACCGGGAATCACCATGTCAAAGGTGTCCCGAATGACCGCATACTGGAAGTAACCACAACGAGCGATTGGTTGCGTTTTCTTGACATCCAATTTTCCGTCTGTAAGCACGTCATCGTGGATGTGAACAGCTACAACTCTGCCGATGACGACGTCGACAGTTCCCATTGGTGGGTTGGCAGGCAACCTGATAGTCGAGTGATAGACGCACTCAAACTTGACTGGACTGTCTTTAACCATGGGAACGGGATCTCCGGGCAGTGAATGGCTGTATTCCTTACGCAGCCCGGCGCGCTCAAACTCGTCCACTGCGTATCCAACCTGTTCTGCGGAAATGTTGACGGCTTCGCGCAAGTCCCATGTTGCGAGATTCCAGCAGAACTTTCCGGTCGACTCGACATTACGGACGGTATCTTTTCTTTGCATGTCTGGTTTCTGGTTGGCCGAAAACATGACGTAGGGAGGATCAAATGTCAGGTTGTTGAACTGCGAATAAGGCGCAAGATTATGTACGGTAGAGTCCGTGGCCGAGACGGTTGAGATCCAGCCGATTGGACGTGGAACTACGCATGCTTTGAAAGGATCATGCGGGAGGTTGTGTGCAGTTTTGCCTGGCTCATAGTACATAGTGGTGGTATTGTAGTGGCGATTGCCAAATTTGAGCAGAGAAAGTCTGATGTCGATGGCCTATCAGTGTAATTAACAATAGAGAAGCATGTCCATTTCCTCCGACTCGCGGACGATTGGCTGTCTACGCTGTACAATATATCGACAAGCAGCAGTAATCTTTTCGCTTTCCATCATTGAGCTCGGCCCAGACGCGACTTGTTCAATGCGGGGGTGGAGCACGCTCCGCAGCATCGGATGGAAAACCCGGCCGAAGAAACGAACCCCGACGATACAGAACTTGGGTCACTAAGCTTTACTTTTTCAAGTTCGGGACTTTATTGTACCTCGTCCGGTCCGAATGAGGCAGTAATTTGATGAAGTCCGTCTGCACGTTCAAATATAATCCTCTCGGTCTCCTTCCTACTACATCATATTCTATTCAGCGGCTCTGTATCCAACCCCCACATCCTGAGGAATATCACCTGTAATCCATTTTCCCAACGGTTTTCAAATCATCCTTGCAATTATGGAGGATGACGATGTTGAGATTGGTCCTGGCCGTGACATTCCCACGGACGGAATTCCGGTCAATTTCGTGCCGGCCAAAGCTGGCGAAACTTTCAAATTAGGACTGATAACCTGTCGCGTTTTGGAAGACGGGTCGCGAACTAGTAAGATTCCCCCGAT